TGCGCTCATTATTATCATCTCATTTGATTCTCACAACAACCCTGGCAGGGAAGTACTATATCATTTCACACGTTGAGGAAACCAAAGTAAACAGGTTAAGTGACTGGCCCAGGGTTCACTCAGTCACTGTCTGAGGCCACATCTGAACTGAGGGAGGTCTTGCTGACTCCAGGCCAAGCACTCCAGACACTCTGGTGCCACCTGAGGGGCCAGGCTGGTTCCAGAGTCCAAGGTTTCAGTGGGATGGAGGTGAGGATGCCAGCAGATGTGGAAAGGCAGGGTGGGGAAGTGGGAACACGAATACAGTGGAGGCCTGGAGGTCGAGCTCTAAGGGGCAGCATGCTGCTAAACATTGCAGGTATACTCTACAGCCATGATACTGTGCGGTCTGAGAGGTTGAGACCCACCATTCTTTAAGTCAAGGTGGCAAAGTTTTATTGTTACGCTTTTCAGTGGGCAAGGATTCTTAAGGAACCTGCGACCTTAGAGGGGTACAGTTAAAGTTTATATAGGATAAAATATAATAAAACACGTGTCAAATATGCTAACTAGGGGATTCAGGGTGGGATTAGGGAGTGGTTAAGGAGTGGTCAGTTCTTAAAAGAACATGCACTTCTCATACCTACTGTGCAGGTATTTTACCCAGAGTCACTAGGAAAAGCCTACAAGGGGGCCACACGGAGGTGTGATTTTAGGCCTGCTACATCACTAAGTTAACTAGAGTTCAGGGACAACTGAGAGTTGTCCAGTCTGCCACCAGTCAATGTCTTGTTTGACAAGATAGATGTAGGGAGTATACATATGTCTTAGGTCTAGAATACAGATAATGAGAAGTCCAGGATGTAGATAATGAGGAAGGGTGGTAGTATAGATAGTCCGGTGGGTAAGAATATCTTTATGACCCAATGCAAAGCCAGTTTAAACTAATAAATCCTTCAGGTGCTGTTTGTAACTGCATCAGGGAAAGAGATAAGGGTCTTGCTGGGGCCCACTCATGAGTAATTGCTAGGCACAGTGTCCTTGGGCTGGGAGAAACTGCCAGAGACAGTGTTTCCGAGGCTAGGGAGAAATTGGGGTCTAAGCACAAGCACCCAAGCACCCCAACAATATCAAACTCAAGTAGAAACAGGGGGCACTAAACTAACACATAAGGTTTCCGGTGGGCTTCATATTAACTTAGAAAATCACCTGTTAACATCATCTAGGTTCTACTGTATTTTTATTTATTTTGTTAAATATTTCCAAATTATATTTTAATCTGGTTCCCCAGTATGGGAGTATCTGACACCTCTGCTTTATACAACTCAATAAAACAGTAACAAAATTCATTTGGAAAAAACAAAAAATGTGGAATTATCAAGGGAAAAGGTGAAAAAGTAGGGAAGTAGGGACAAGGGGGACAAGTGCTTACAGACCTCAAACTATATTATAAAGCAGCAGGCATCAAAACCACAGACTGGTTAAAAAAGAGAGGTACAAACTAAACAAGGAAAAATCACAAACAATGGAACTCAATAACCCAGTATTTGATAAACTAGAAAACATAAATTACTTAAGAAAGAATTCTCTACTTGATAAAAAACTGCTGGGAAAACTAGAAAACATTCTCGCAGAAATCAGGCTTTGACCAGCAACCTTACACCATATTCCACAACACAAAGCTACATGACCTCAATATTAAAGCTCATACTATCATAAAATTGGAAGAGAAGTAGATCACGTATCATTCATTTTGTTAAATATTTTCCAGCTCCATTTTAACCTGGTTCAGCAGCACTCAGGAATTTTGAGGTTAAGTCAGATACCTCTAGTGACAGGAAGCCTCCAATCAGAAAAATAGGCAGGCAAATCACAGAGAAACATCAAGTGAAGATCTGGAGAGCCCCACGCTGTGCAGATGCCCACAACGTCTGGGGTTTTCCTTAAAGACTTAAAAGAGGAAGGCCTCAACATGGGAAGCAGATATTACAGACGATTTAAAGGAGTGTAGTTTCAAAACCCAGACAGGATGAACAGCTATAAACAGATTACAATCTGCACTGCTGGAAAGAACCCAGTGCTGAGATCAGCGACCCTGGGGATCTGGAGGTTGTGTTTAAGTTACAAATTGCACACCTCCTGCAAAAAGCCACTCTCTGTTACTTCCTCCTAAGGCACCAATCTTCTTCCTGAAGTTTGCTCTAAGAGAGGCAACATGTTATAACATACAGAACAATGGACTGAGTGAGGAACCCACTTAACTCATCCTGCCCCAAGCCTCAGCTTCCCGAGCTGTATAATGGGAACAATGATACCTCTACTATATTACGGTTGCTCACCTTCTCTTCTGGTTCTTCTCCTGTGCCTCTCCAGTCGGCTGGCTTACTGACCTAATTCCACGAGCATTTTCAGCTCTTCCTCCTTTCTCAGCTGGCCAGGTACAGGCTCTGGAAACCCCCACCTAGACCTCTCTGAATTCTTCCACTTGGTCAAGGAAGTCTCTGGAGTTCACCTGAGGCATTATCCCAGTAATCCCTTCAACTGGCCTTTCATTGTGGCTCTGCCCAATCTCCCAATTCTGTTACCACATTCCCACCCAGCCCTACATGGTCTGTTACCTTCCCATCCTTGATACCATGGAGACTCCATTCTCCCTTGGCCACCTGGCCCACATCCCTGGCATCCTGTTACCTCACAGTCACCTCAGACTACTAGCCACTCCTAGATCTCTCCCACAGTCTTTATGTATATAAGGTCCATCTTGTCTCCATTAAGGTGCTCAGATTCTTAAAATCTGGCCAATGGCTCAGATTCAATCTAGTCTGCTTGTCAGTACAATTCCTTAAGAGTCTGGTCAATACGGCTGATCTTTAATAAACCTTGTCTTTGGCTAAAAGAAGGTTTGGGTTGAATTCATTCAGGCAGGACCCACGTGTCATGATCTCCACAGAGCCATAGCCAGCACCCCTTGGCCTCCTTGCTGTTCCTCCATCTACACTGGCTGTCTCGTATGCTTGGGACGCTCTCTCTTCTCACCTGTAGCGCTTCCATCAAGTCTCTGCTCAAATCCCATCTGTGGTAACAAGAGCCCTTTTCCCAGCCATCCACTTCCCCCCAGAGACTAAAGCCTCCCTCTTTCAGAGGGCCCTCACTTACTCTGAACATGACTGTTACACACACGGGGTCTTCCCCCTTAGAATATTAGTTGCTTGAGGGCAGGGCCTATTTTCTGCCATCACCTCCAGTGACAACATGGGGGGACTCATGGAAGAGAATACATAATTTAATAGACACAGCAACTCCTACCACTTATCAATTCAGATAATGTTTCTACATAGAGTTCAGCACAAGCCTGGAAAGTGTACATTTGGGCCCTTTATCCTCTAAAGACCCAAACAAATTTTCATTCTTTCTGCAACACTAGTTTGGGACTTCAACAGGAAAAGAGCTCAAACCTAACGTGTTCTCCCCAATACATCCCACTCCAAGCTGTCACTGAGGGTGGCAAACATGGTTTGTCTCCCTAGATTAGAGATGGCTTCCCGTTCGAATTTTCTCCTTTGGCATAAGGCCTGGGCTTTGGCAGATCTCAAAAACGTCAACTACAACTAAGGACACTGGCCTAGAGCCAGGTCTTTTGGGAAAGGAATGCACCTCACAGGAGTTTTAAGGAATAAAACACAGAACACTCTAGAACACTCAAGCCCCAAACACAGGACTCTTGGCTATTCTTATATCACAAAAATGTCAGAAAAGATATTCTCCAGGAAATCTCTGGGGAAAGTGAGCAGTCTGGTTGTGAAAAAAAAAGAAAGAACACGATGGGGCAGCTAGGTGGCGCAGTGGACAGAACACTGGCCCTGGAATCAGGAGGACCCGAGTTCAAATCCAGCCTCAGACACATAACACTGACTAGCTGTGTGACTCTGGGCAAGTCAATTAACCCCAACTGCCTCACACACACAAAAAAAAGACAAAGAAAGAAATAACATGCTACATTGGTATCCCCTGGTCTGCTGTGCAGAGATCCTCTAGGGAGGAGTTCAGGAGGACCAAGGCCAACACCAACAGCTTGAGAAAGGGTGGCCAGAATCGAGAGAGCTCCTCAAGGAGACCACAGCCCCACTGATGCAGTCAACATGTAGGGAAGGGCTATAGGGAAAGAGAGCTGGTTCTTTTATCATTTATATTAAATGACTTCAGAGCATGTGATTATTATTAGTCAAATAGTCAAACTTTACTGAGGAGCTCATTTTCTTGGAGTTTGGCAAAAGAAGGCCTTCTGAATCGTATTCCACTCTTTCACTGGTGGAGAATACAAGTTTCTGGGGAGTAAAGCCTCTTCTAATATTTTCCCAAGGAAGGGACTTATTTTGTACAATAGTAGGAAAAGATAAATTCAGGGAAATTAATGCTTTATCTAGAATATGGCTTGTCATTTTTAAACATGTAATAGTAAAAGTATAAGCCGAGCTGGACAGCATGGTGTGGCATGGTCTGGTTATATAGAGGGCCAAGGTTCAAGGTCTGCCTTGGACACATAATAGCTGTGTGGCCCCCACACCACAACACACACACACACACACACACACACACACACACAACCTAGGGTCACTTCTATTAACAATCTCTGCCAATGCCTTCAATAAGCATCCTAGAGCAGGACACCGTGGACAGACAGAAGTGGGAGGGAAGAAAGTGTCCAAGGGAGGGGACAGGAATGCCTTTCTTTCCATGAAAACCAAAAATAAAGAGATCACGCCTGGCTGCTTATATTATTCTCACCACACACTGTCTAAATTTCACAGTTAAAATAAAATACTTCCATCTGATCAGTGTCTCTAAAAGTTGCCCCAGGAAACTTCCATTTATCTGAATCAATCAACAGTTGTTCATTAAAAAAAAAAAACCCTTAACACAGTGCCTGGGGCATATAGTAGGCACCAGATAAATGTTTCTTCCTTCTCTTCTTCCCTCTCTCTTTTCAAGATATTCAAAAGAAATCATGCTTCATAACTTACTCCAAAGCAGGTCTCAGAACTCGTACTTTTAATGCCTCCAATATTCGATTTAACTCCACAAATGGTTCTTTTTGACTTGGGTCTATAGACAGTCCAGATTCCTGAAAAGCAGAAAAGTTCCTTTGTTATCTTTAGTTGGAACTATGAAACAGCATTAAAAGGAAAGTAAACTAGCACTGGAAATTTGGGACAATTTAAAATAAATTTTATTGAAAAGGCAACCCTCTAAGAATTACACAGAATGCACACAAGTTGCAAGTTCCTGAAGGGACAGTTCTAAGTTCAGCTTGAGCTATGCCCAAAATGGGACATTCTATTTTCAGATCAGAGGTTCAGTTTGTAGCCTCATTCTATATAAGTTACTTAACTAGACTTTTCTCATCCAGAAAACAGAAGATGCCCAAGCTTGTAAAATGTTTTGAGCTCCCTAAATCAGTGTTCTCAAACTGTGATTGGGAGACTCCTCCCAGACATTATTTCAGGGGAGTCCATAAGGTCAAAACTGTTTTCACAATAATACTAAGACATGTTCATTTCTACTATGAGAAACACTGAAATATAACCTGCCAACAAAAGCTCTTTGGGAATTCCTTGATAATTTTAAGAGCGGAAAAGAATTCCAAGGCCAAAAAGTTTGAGAACCACTGTGCTACATATCAAAAGGTCTGAAAAAGACATAAGAATAATTTGTGGGGGTGCTGCTAATTCTGGAGCACATTTTCAGATACCTTTTCCAGAGGTGAAAGAACACAGATCAATACTTGCATCTATTCTCCTCCTCTTTTTCTCTTTTATGTCATATTCACCTTGCCAGTTGAAGAAAATAATGGGAAAGAAAGCAGGCCCTCTGCAGGCCTGAGCCCCACCCTGCTTCTCTGTCTCAGCCCTCCTGTCTGAGTCAGACAGCAAGGACAAGACAAGCCTTGTGGACTTCTGAGCCCACAGAAAAGCAATTCTCATCATCAATAACAAATATTTTAAACCATTCAACAAACCCTAGATTACTGTGGTCACTTACTACCGTGTGTTGGGCACCTAATCTGTTCCACTGATCCAACACTGGAGCCGTTTGGCAGAAATGAGGCATAGGCCAACATCTCACATCATATACCGAGGTACGGTCAAAATGGGCACGTGATTTAGACATAAAACGTGTTATCATAAGGAAACTGGGGGAACATGGAAAAGTCTACCTGTCATATTCTATGAGTAAGGGAAGAGTTTATGACTAAACAAAAAACAGAGAGGGTCATGGGAAATAAAATGGGTAACTTTGATTACATGAAATTAAAAAGGTTTTACACAAATAAAACTAATGCAGCCAGCATTATAAAACTGGGGTGGGGGGGGGGAGTGGGGCGGATTTTTACAGCAACTTTCTCTGATAAAGGCCTCATTTCTCAAATGTACAGGGAACTGAGCCAAATTTATAAAAATAAGAGTCATTTCCCAGTTGATTAATGGTCAAAGGACATGAATAGGCAGTTTTGGAAGGAAAAAAAAAATCAAAGCTATCAATAATCTTAAGAAAAACTGCTCTAAATCACTACTGATTAGAGAAATGCAAACTATGACAACTCTTGAGGTACCACCTCACACCTATCAGATTGGCTAACACGACAGAAAAAGAAAATGACAAATGTTGGAGGGGATGTGAAAAAACTGGGACACTAATGCATTGTTGGTGGAGTTGTAAACTAGGCCAACCATTCTGGAGAACAATTTGGAACTGCTCCCAAAGTGCTACAAAACTGTGCATACCCTTTGATCCAGAAACACCACTCCTAGGTCTGTATCCCAAAGAAAAAAAAAGGAAAAGGAAAAGGACCTAGTTGTACAAAAATATTTACAACAGATCTTTTTGTGGTAACTAAGAATTGGAAATCAAGGGGATGCCCACCAACTGGGGAATGGCTGAACAAGTTGTTTTTTATGATTATGATGGAATACTATTGTGCTATAAGAAATGAAGAGTAGGATGGTTTCAGAAAAACCTGAGAAGACTTATATGAACTCATGCTAAGTGAAGTAAGCAGAACCAAGAGAAGATTGTACATAGTACCACAAGGATGATCAACTGTGAAAACCTTAGCCACTCTGATCAAGACAATGACCCACACCAAGACCATCACTCCAAAGGACCTGGGGTGACACATGCCCTCCACCTCCAGACAGAGGACTGATGAACTCTGAGTGCAGACTGAAGCATGATTTCTTTTTTTTATTTTTCATTTTTATTGTTTTATTTTGTGTTTGCTTTTGTAATATGACTAACATGGAAATACGTTTTGCATGACTTCAAACATATAATCAATATCAAATTGTTTGCCTTCTCAAGGAGGAGGAAAGGTAAGAAGAGAGAGAATTTAGAACTCAAAATTTTACAAATAATTGTTTAAAAAAGTTTTACATGTAATTGGGAAATATTTAATGAAATAAGAGTAATTTTTTAGACATAAAAAAAAAATTCTCCTCCACTAATGACCAGTCCACTGGTCTCTACTTTTCTGAAAGTAGTAACTGTTGAAACAGACATCCATGGCCAGCAGGAAACCGGAACCCCACTTTGGAATGATCAAGCACTGGATCTATTCCGCTCATGTTCCTTTCTCACCACACGCCCACCTGTTCCCCAGTTACCTGACAGAGTTCCTCAGCTACATCCAGCATTCCTTGTCGGAAAAAGTGCTCCACCATCACCTCATTGAGGATCCTCTGGCTGTCTGCCTGCCAACAGCCATCGATTCCCACACTACTGATGTCGGAATCAAAATTCTGAAAGGCACAAATGAACATTCAATTGGCCAGAGAACATCACCTTAGAAGTCATTTGCAAAGTGCTGCTCAGATATGTTTTTGTTTGTTTCCCACCCAGCCATTCAATCACCCCCTCCAAAGGTGTAGAAGGCTGCATCAGGACATCCTCCTTCCATTGTCTCTTTCCTGAAACGAGTCTCATTTCCCAGGCCACGTGGACTCACCCTGCAGACTGACAACCCTAGCCAATTACCAATCCAACCCTTTGCTGGAGGACAGAGTCAAGTTAGTAAAGAATTTTTAAAAGTAGACATGAAAACAAGAACTACTCAAGTGACAACAAATGATTACAACAAGCCATTTTCAACATCAGAGTGGTAAAGAAGTCTTCTCCAAAAACTCCAAAAGGTTCATTCTTCTCTAAATGTGTAAAAAAAGTCACACCAAGAAAAAACTGTCCTAAACAGAACCGCCAAGTCAGCAGTCTAAGAGAACAACGGAACACAACAAAAGATGTAATTGCTAAAATCACATGCAGAAATAGGGAAATACACAAATTGTTTCATTTTCTCTGCACAGACATCTATCTCTCTTAAAGGTTCAGTATTAATTTACTTTATAAAAAGGAGTAACACAAAGCACCCAGCGACTAATGACAGAGAAAGCAGTTATTGTCAGCCAGGCCTGGAAGGGGGCTGGCAGTGCTGGGCCAAGGCTGTGCTCCATTCCAGCTTATCAGATTCTGCATAATAGTTCAATACTTTCAAGCACACTATCCCATCTTTCTGTTCTCTGTAACAGCCTAGTCTCTCCCCGCCTCCAAAGTGTCAAGTGCTGGGAACAGAGAAAGATGGTATCACAGCCTAGCCCCCCTTTCTCCCCCCAAGTCCTCTCCCAACCAGCCTTCAGACAAAGAGCCATACAAATGAATGGGGAGTGGGTGTCTAGAAAGGGAACAATGACATGTATACAAATGGACACAGTGGTTTGTATCACAAATGGGCACAGCAGTTTAGAACACCCACCAGAAAAAAAAAAAAAGGTGAGCAGGAATCACAGGCCCAGGCTTTGATGGGCAGAAAGACTCTTCAAGCGTCTTTCAGCATCATCCAAACCAAACCGAATGTGAATTTCTGGTTTCCACTTAAATAGTCCAAGTAAAAGGTTCACTCTCTTCTTCCAACGAGTATAAAAGTTCTTTGCCCCATGAGAATGAAATGACAAATTTCACAGTGACAACAGCTGACACAGGTCATGGACCAATCAATTCTGTTCAACAATACATATTCAGCCAGATTTTATAGCTACCTACCAACTCAAGTGAATTCAACAAATATTTACTAGGCATGTAGCATGTGAATAAGGAAGGACTACGCGGCCACAAAAATGCTTTAATTATTAGATCGTGTATACATGTAAAAATGGGGAAACCTTGGGTCCCTCCAATGACGTTTCGACTACTCAACCTTCCCCTCGCTTTGGCAGTCAGTCATTTAAGCTACAGTTAAGCATGGATGGAAAGGAAACGGGATGCACCCTTGAGGTCCTATCACTGTGATTTAATATCCAACCTTACACCCTCTGTAGAGAATTATCGCTTGCATATAGCTCAATCTCTACTTAACCAGCAAAAGGAATCAAAATCAAGGTTCTACAAAGTGTCTGTGTTTGAGGAATACCAATCTGGCCACTGGGGAGGATGAATTAGAAAGAAAACAGACTGCAGTGAGAATGATCTGGAAGCACTGCAACAGTCCACAGGAAAGCTGGCAAGGGCCCAAGTTAGGGCGATTCTACTATCAGTGGACATATGAGACACTGTGGAGACACAGGACAACTGACCTCCACAGAAACCAGGGCTTAGGAACAGGTCAAGACGCTCACTGTGGGAGATGGAGTTTATTGCCCTTTCTCTGAGAGTGTCACGCTTCCTTTGAACAACACTCTAAGAATAAGAGAAAGTGGAACATCTTAAGCCTTGATTCCATGAGGAACACAAAAAGACTAAGGAAGGAATGCTGTTCAGTTGTTTCAGACAAGTCTGACTCTCCATGACCCCACTCAGGATTTTCTTGGCAGAGATCCTGGAGTGCTTTGTCATGTCCTTTTTCAGCTCATTTTACAGATGAGGCAACTGGGGCAAACAGGGTTAAGTGACTTGCCCAGGGCCACACAGCTAGGAAGTGGGATCTGAACTCAGGATGATGAGTCCTCCTGACTCCAGGCCCAGCATTCTGTCACTGCTCCAACTAGCTGCCCCAAATTAGGAATAGATAAGTATAGGCACTATGAATTAAAAAATATGAGGTTAGACTAGCTAGAAAGTAAACAAAGCAAAGATTTTCTTTTCAGAAAAAAGTTTAAAATTTTAAAAAACACACAAAAGAAGTTGAAAGGACTAAGAGAAGGGCAATTTTTAATTAGAGATTTTTTTAAAGGGGGGAGAAAGGAAAACAGATGACTAAATAAAAGGAAGAAAGAAAAAGGAATCAAGTTCAATAAAACTCAAAAACTAGGGAAAGAGGTGACAAATGCGAGAGAGGAGGTCTAAGGGTAAGGAGAAGAGAGTAGGAATAGGCTGCCTTAAGGTAGATTAAGCAAAAATAATTGTATGACAAAGTACTGTCTTAAAAGAGGAAGACTAACAAGACAAAATCCTAATTTTTTAAAAATCAATACTGAAAATATAAATGCAAAAAATATAAACCCAACCCTCGTAACTTTAAATGTGAATGGACTGAACGAGCCAATAAAGTGAAAAGGATTAGATAAGAAAACCCCAACCTGCAGCTAATAAGAAATATCTAAAAAACAAAGAATAAAAATGAGGTTAGAACAAAATTTGCTATGAATCAAGTGAATCCGAAAAAGCAGGTATTGGGATCATGCTATCAAACAAAGCAAAAGCCAAAATTTACAACCTAAAAGAGATAAACAAGGCTACTACACTGAAAGGATCCAGGGACAACAAACCAACATCAATATAAAATTTACTCGCTCCATGTGAATGGCAAGAAGACAGAGAGAGTCAAAGACATCAAAGAGTACAAGGCTGCATATTGTCACCTTTAACTTACACGCAGAGGAAGGACATCATGTGAAATGCCAGGCTGGATGAATCAAAAGCCGGAACTGAGGTTGTGGGGAAGATATCAACAATCTCAGAGATGCAGATGACACCACTCTGATGACAGAAAGTGAACGGAATTAAGAAGCCCCTTGATAAAGATGAAAGAGGGGAGTACAAGCTTTAAGTCAGCTCAACATCCAAAAAACTAAGATCTTAGCAACTGGTCCCACCACTTCTTGGCAAACAAGAAGAAATGGAAGCAGTGTCAGACTTTATAAAATTCTTGAGCTCAAAGATCAGTGTGGACGGCGACTGCAGCCACGAAATTAAAAGACGTTTACTCCTTGGAAGGAAAGCTATCACAAATCTGGATGACACACCAAAAAGCTACAGGTTTTCCAATAGCAAGGTGTGGCTGAGAGAGCTGGACTGTAAGGAAAGCTGGGCGCCACTGCATCAAAGCCTTTGAACTGTCGGGCTGGAGAAGCCTTTTGAGAGTCCTTGGCCAGCAAGGAGCTTAAAGAAATTAATTCAGGCTAATTCAGGAAGGTCAAATACTGAGGCTGAAGCTTAAATACTTTGGCCACCTAATGAGAATACAGGACTCACTGGAAAAGGCCCTGATGTTGGGAAAAATTGAAGACAAAAGGGGAAGGCAGAAGATGGAATGGATAGACAGTATCAGGGAAATGACAAACACGGACCTGGACAAATTTTGAGAGATAGTGGAGGATAGAAAGGTCTGGTGTGCTAAGGCCCACAGGGTCACAAAAGAACTGAACAACAAAGGAGACTTTGATATTCCTCTCTCAGATTGGGTCAAATCTAAAAGAAAGATAAAAGGGAAAATATAGAATTTTAAAAAATACATAATTAAAAGATTCTTATGTAAAACAATCCACAGATGTTATCTCAATCACACTCTGTGTGTGTGTGTGTGTGTGTGTGTGTGTATTCCTGTCTAATAATCCTTACCAAAGGGCTCAGATACAAATTAAGAAAATTAAGAAGCCCAAATTTACTAAGGAGTAGAACTTCATTAGCTTGTACTCTGGAAAAGAGCACAACAGCTGGCCCACTCAAAACTGCCAGCCAACTTTGAAAGGAGCCTCTGGCTTCTTCAGTGGATGGGGGTGCGCTCCCCCCCCCACCCGCACAGCATTTATCAGAAGCCTGGTGCTCACTCACTTACTAGGCTGGAGGGTTACACTGCACTTCATTTCAAGACGATTTGAGTGGTTTGAGCCAGTTGTTAAATGTTTACCAGCACATGCTGGATACACATACAATACTAAGATAGCTTCTAGGAATGGGCTAGAATTCAGAAAACTAATCTCCCATGAACTCAGTGACTTTGGACAACAACCCCCCTGTTCCTCAGTTTCTTCTTCTAGAACTAAATCTAATAAAAATTGCTTGAAAAGCCGTTTTAACTCTGAAGAACTCTAACAATGTTAATCTCCATAGAAGGAACCTGGAACTAGAGGTCTCTCGCCCTGGTATTTTTTCCTGAGTTTTCTTCACACTCTTATCTCCTGACTTTTCTCCTACCTTTCCACAGCCCCTTCTTCACCTCCACTGATTCATCACCCACAACCAACCCCAAAATGTGTAGCCAAGGCCCCACCCTGGACTCTTCTCTTTTCTCACCTTATAGTGTCTGTCTTTTGGACCTCAATTATCATCGACCAGTCTCTTTCCTGAGCTCCAAATGCTTAGTGGACATTTAATATGTTACACAGACATCTCAAACTCAGAAACCCATAAACAACTTTGTGGCTACTCCCAAAGCTACCATTACTTCAGGTCCTCAACATTTCTCAGGTGGACTATTGTAAATCATCTTTTTTTAAAAAAATAAATTGCAAAAGCCTACCACTTTGCAGAGGGTGAGGGGAGGGAGGAGAGTAGGGATCACCTCAGAACACTGTATTTTCAAGATAAAAAG